CTGGGGGTTCAGGAGTGCCCCACGGCAAGAGGTTTTTATTTCCTCCTTTTCATGATAGTTTTATTTCATCACTATAATCTCACGTATGATGCTATACTCTACTACTCATTCTCAGCTGAAACTTGAGTCAGCTGAGATTTACTCAGTTGGTCCTCAGAGAGCGCACTGAGTGCTGGTTTCAAGCGTTATCTCGCAATTCATCTGCATATTCGTACGTCTTAATAGAATCCGCCGCGCCATCACGACGCCACCACAACTATTCAGCGTGCCATTTTAGCAATCATACGCTTGCAACTACGATTGCATAGCTTACCCGAAGAGTTCGAATTCGTCTCTTCTTTGGGCATTTCAGGGAACTATTTTGACTGTGCCAATGTCCGTTCGTCTGTGCTCAGCGCTCATTAATCGAGGGCCAGATCGTCTGACCTGTACCAATATTTGCTTTTCTTCGCTATCACTTAGGTGCACACCACGTCGCTAATCGACTCATCGCCCTATGCCGACCGTGCAGAAGCCAAAACTTGCCGACCTAATCGGGTCCGCGTACTCTCCTTTGTAAACTATTCCATAAAGTCATAATGCAAAAAATAATTAAGTGCGTCATGCCTCAGACCCAATGCCCGTGGAGGTCAGACAACCACTCGCTAGTCTTCCCCCCCCCTTCGATCCTTTCCGTAACTTCACACCTCTTATCCTCCCTCCATTCTCTGGCCCAGCTTCCAGAAGTACGTCTGAGGTGTGGAAGAACAAGGGGAGAGTAGGCCTACAAGTGTGCATGTCACTGGAGCTCGCGAAATTTCTGAACTTCATGAGAGGTATTGAAATTACTCCCATGCAAAAATTCTTCCTTTCCCTCTATGAATTCTCCTTTCTCCTGTATCCCTTCTTGCATCTCCCAGAACATGGTGCCAATGTTACCAAATACACATCCTTCTGAATCACCAAATACGCCATCAATCACTGAGCATTCCCGAGTGGGTTTTTGACCGTGGCCAAAACTTTCTTGTGAACACTTTGCTTTGTTATTCTTTTTTTCAGTTTCTTATCAGTATACTTTTTGAACCTGTTTCAAAATTAAAAGTCCTACGTTTTTGTGAATCTTCATCTCGAGGCTCCACGCAGTGCTTCTTCGCTTTGACATTGTGGGGTTGTTGAATTTCTTCTTTCCAACTCTTCACGAGGTTGTTAGACACTTCTGGCTTACGTTTCGGCGGGATCGCCTTCTTCAGAGCCTGAAGAGGATCGAAGGCAATTTATGACTACCCGACCAAACTTCTCAACAACCCTACTGAAGTTCGAGGTCAAAGAATTTATCACCACGCAGTTCCCCCGAAATATTAGGCAATAAAATTTGTTTAATAATATCGCGAAGTATTGGAGAGAAGGAATTCAAGAGCTTATAGTCCCAAGCTTGAGGTAATAGGTTTTTTATTAACAACTGTTTGTACTTCTCCTTCAACCGTAAAATGAGGGTAGCAGTATGTAAATGCTCAAAGGTTTCCAAGTTTCCAGAAACAATCGT